CCCCTCCAACTACGCTCCGCCACACCGCGCGTTCCCGTGATATGACGTCCATAAACACCACCCCGCACGCTTTGCACACGTTATATTCGCTCGGCAAAAACCCCAGCCAGCCAGCGCGGTCTGCGGCGCAGCCGACGGCCTCTGTGTGTGGGTGTGGCGGTGCGCGCGCGCGCCATGCCCGCTGAGCTGCCTGCTCGTCTGACCCGACGCGCCGCACCGCGCACCTCGCGGAACCTAACGGCCGACCGGCCACTCAGACAGCCAGTCGGGGCGCGCAGAAATGGGGTGGAGCGGGGGGCATACATTTCCCTGCGTCACGCGGAGGATCATGGCCCGAGAGAGCTGGCCCTGGCGAGCGGTCAGCTCAGCTCCACTTATTCGGACGGGAAGAAACTTGATCCGACAAAAGCGGAACGTTGATGGCCGTTCTAGGCCGGGGGAGTCCACGCCACGACGACGGCGGTCCCCAACCTTTCTGGCCTGTCCTTATCCAGGGGCAGTTGGTGGGCGGGATGGACCACCGCGACCGCGGCGAGACAGGACAACAACTCGAACTCGACCCTAGGGACAGAAGCAAGGCCATGTAGAGGGAGAAAGAAGGCAAATAAGAGAGAGAGAGAGGGGGAGGGAGAGGGAGAGGGAGTGGGAGAGAGAGAGAGAGAGGGGGGAGGGGGGCAGTTTTATTAAGGACGCCGTTGGGGACCGGGACCGGGGCGGGCGAGGCTGATAAGCGCGCGCGAAGGGAGGGAAATCGCCGACCTGCGGCACAAAAGCACGTTGCTGACGTCCGCCGTCCGCACTACCACAAGAGGAGGAGGCCCACTAGACGACGACGAGCGAAAGACAAAAGATTACTTTCAGATGACGGCTGTATTTTTATTGTTGCTGCGTGCAGTGCTGCTCACGTGCAAACGGTGTTTTTGACAGCACACGCTAATGTATGGGCGGATAGCCGTCTGTTACGCAAAGGGTGTGGGTGTACAGTACACCCCCCTCCCCCCCTCCCCCTCAAAAAAAGGTCTCCGTGACGGCCGACTGTCCCCTTTAATGACGGATCGGCTGCCCGCACGGCGGGGGTTGATTCACAGTTTGGAGTCGACTTCACACAAGGCCCGGGCGGTTACGTTCATCGCATCAACTTGTTTGTTGTTGTCGCTCCGGCCGTGTCACTCCGCCCCCCC